AGTAGGGGGAGAGGCAGCTCTCCCACACACTCACCAGGGCTGGGCTAGGACTGGATCTGGGAGTACCTAGAATGCAGCAGAAATTCTCACTGGGCAGGCAGGGTGGGGTGGTGTGCTGTGGAGTGGTGGTGGGAGGTCCCAAGAGGGTAGAAAAGTGTCTCACCCACGCTGCACCTGGGTTGGGACCTGCAGGTCCCACTGGCACAGGGTAGCCGGAAGCTCTCCCACACACTCACCGGTCCTGACCTAGGACTGGATCTGGGGGTTCCTGGAACATGGCAGAAATTCCTACTCAGTGGGTGGGGTGGGGGGTGCTGTGGAGTGGTGGGGGGCATCCCAAGGGGGTGAAAGAGGATCTCACCCACATTGCACCTGGGCTGGGACCTGCAGGTCCCACCAGCACAGGGTAGCCAGAAGCTCTTCCACACACTCACCAGGCCTGGGCTAGGACTCAAGCGTTCCTCAATGAAAACTATTTCTGTTTCCCTTCCATGTGTTGTGTATTCACGGAATGATTGTCAACATAGGTAGAAAAGAGGAAACTGATAGGAAGAAACTGACCCTCCCCTTGACAACATGTTCATACCCTTATTCACTCCTAAATTTACTCACACACACACTCATTTATCACTTTGAATGCACACACCATTCCCTGAGGCCCCTCGTTCCTGTTGTAGTGCTCCAGCCACAGCATGGCACAAGAAATCCATGTGTAAGAAAAGGGAGCAGCCACCCTTATGCCATGCAGCAGGTATGTGTAACATGAGCCACATATGTTCTCTCCAATTATCTATTCACCATGCTAAAAACCTGATAAAGTCCAGTTAATACATATATTATTTAATCCATTATATCAAAAGCATTATGATTTAAATATGTAATCAATGTAAAAATTTTCCTCAACCTCTTTTGGAATGTGGTGCACATTTTACATTACAGTACAACGCAGGTCAGGGTAGCCACACATATTGTATATGGCCCCACAAAATGCATGGCACTGTATTAGAACACATAGGACAATTCAGACATTTTTGAGGATTTTTTTTTCTTTTTTTTGCTGATCCGGGGATTGAACTCAAGCCCTTGTGCTTGCCAGGCAAGTGCTTATTCTACTGAGCTATCTTCCTGGCTGAGGATTTCTTTCTTCTCATTGCCCTTCTTCCCAGATGGCAGACCTCTGCTGGCTCGGTTGCCTCTCCCAAGTCCTGCCCTCAGGAAGAGCTCACTACCCCTTCTGCAGCCAGGACTGCTCACAGCTGACCTTCCTCTCCTGATACTTCTCCCCCATTTGGCACTTCTGCAACCCTGGGCAGTCCTCACCTCTGCTCATGTCCCTGCTCCCCCCCAGCTAAACAAACAGGGTCTTACCCATCTGTGGCCTAAGTTCAACTGCCCCATCCCCAGTCTAGCTGCCCAAGGTCACTTATCCACACCAGCCCTCAGAGCTGACTCTCCTACTCTTTCTGAGGTCAGGGTATGTCACTCTTCCCCTCTCCCCATTCTCACCCACTAACCTTTCGTTCTGCCACTGGCTCTGCAGGGAGAAAGAAGCCATGTGACCTGAGATCCTTAACAGTCTCACACCCACCAAACTCTCACCAGACCTTCCACTCCTCCTCGGTGCAGAGGAAGGTGTCCTTCATGAATCAGAGAGCATCCCTCCACCTGTCTGTCAGTTATCACCTACGCCTCTGAGGCTCCTCATTCTCTTCCATGGTCTGCCTCATCACCTCTCTTCACTTGGACTCACAGATTTCTCCTACTCTGACCACACTCCTCCCTCAGCTCTGTGATTCGCCTCTTGCTGTCTGCTGTGCTTTCCCCAGTGGAGCTTCCTGCATGTTGTCTGTGATCTCTGACTCCATCTCTCACTTCCAAATTCATCTCTAGCTTGCTGGTCAGGCTTATGTTCAGGGAACCACCACCACACTGTCTTGACAGCATCCCACTGTTTGTCCTTTTCTCAGTCACATATCTTTTCCTTGAAGGATGGACAAAGCTGCCTGCCTGTATCAGAATCACTAGGGTGCTTGTTCTATAATAGCAGATCTCAGGCGTGGAAGATTCATAATTTGGTGTTCTGATTAGTGTGGCATCCTTCCTATAAGCCCATCCATCACACACTAAGAATAGGCCACCAGGGATAACCCTCATGGGATGGGAAAGCCTTATCACCTTAAAAAGCTGGCACAGTTGAATGCAAGACTCAGTCATTATTGGGTTTTCTGGCTAGGAGAGCTTTGTCAATTCATTGCATTTGAATTTCAATCCAAGTCTTCCTAAAAGGGAAATTCAGACTTGTATACATGATTTTAAGGGAATCAGTTTTGAAAACCCTCAACTTCTTTCCAAAATGGACCTGAGACTCCACCTATGTTGAAGCTTTCATTCTAAAGAGGAGACAGAGATGAGAAAGAAGAGAGAGAGAGAGAGAGAGAGAGAGAGAGAGAGAGAGAGAGAGAGACAGAGACAGAGACAGACAGAGACAGACAGAGAGACAGACAGAGACAGAGACAGACAGAGACAGAGACACAGAGACAGAGAGAGACAGAGAGACAACAAACTTCACCCTTCTCAGATATTCCTGGGATGCAGTGCTCCAGGATGCCACCTACGGGTAAAACTGTCAGCAAAGCCAGTTTCATCAAGATACCAGTTACTTAAGGGAGTTTCCTTAAGTCATTACCTTACAGTGTTTCTGTTAAAATGCAAAGGTAGTGCTAAAATGGGATATTTGGTCCTAAGTGGGTTGGTCAGAAATGCAGGAAAACCATACAATGATGATAAACTTTTAAGGGCTTCTGGAGAAATAATTCACACACCATACAATTCACTCAATTGGAGCGTGCAACTCCGTGGCTTTCGGTATATTCCTCCCCTGAGCTATGCAATCACTGTGACGATCAGCGTTAGCATGTTGTCATTACCTCAAAGAGAAACCTTCACCGCATAAACTTCTCGGTCCTAGGCAGCCACTAACCTACATTTTTATTTCACAGAGAATAAAACATTTTAAAAATTAAAAATGCAGAATTTCCAAACAGGATAAGAGATCAACAACTGGTGTTATACTGCATATTGTTATCTCTTCAAAATAGTTGTCCAGATTACTAGACACAGGCATGCACAACTGATCAGAAAGTGAAGCACTAAGGGTTCCTTTGAATAAACCACTAGAAATTAGCAATAAAATTATCTTAGCTAATTCTTTCTCCTTTCCCTCATCCCAATTCTTTCCTTTTGAGCAATTTCTTTTCTTTCACAATATCCATTGTACCTTTCAGATTATATTTACTATTTAATTTCTTACACTAATGAGACAACCCAATATTTACACATGTGGGCCTTTTTTTTTTTTCACTTCTGAGTATGATCTCTAGCTGTATCCATTTACCTATAAAAGTCTTGAGTTTATCTTTCTTTATAGATGAGAAATATTCCATTGTATAAAAGGACCACATCTTTTTTATTCATTTCTCAGATGATGGGCATTTGGGGTGTGTGCAAGATTTAGCTATGACAAATTGTGCTGCTCTCCACATGGGTGCACATATGCTGCTGCTGTTTACTAATCTATATTCTGTCACCTTGGATTTTCCCATTTTGGACATTTCACAGAAATGGAATCCTATTACTTCTCTCACCTACTATAATGCTTTTAAAGTTCAGCTGTTGTACAAGGATATCATACTGTGTTGACCCAGTCAGTAGCTGATATTTTGGTTACTTATTGGCTAATCTAAATAATGGTGCCATGCACATTAATCTACAACTTCATGCGGATACATAGCTTCATTTAGATAGTGTCCACAGGAGTGGAATTGCTGGATTGGGTAGCAATTCTTCTGTTTAATACTTGAGGAACTGCCAGGCCTCACGTGGTTGCAAAGCAACCGCATCATTTTACACTCCTGCCAGCAGTGTCCGAGCGCTCTAGTGCCTCCCCACCTATGCTGACGCCTGGCATCTGTCTGTCTGAATACGGCCACCCTGG